GAAAAGAATATATGTATTTCATTAGGTTTCCTGGGGCTCATTTCCTCAGCAATAAAATAACAATATACAGGACGCAGAGGTATCCCAGATGTAAAGGGAGAACAGAAAGCCATTGTTTGTTGAAATTGTTGCCTGTTTTTGCACAGTTGGCTTGTACCATAAAGAGTTACACTTCAGGCTATTCGAGATTGCCAGGTGATTTTTTTTTTCTGCTGACTGCGGTATACACCTTACACTACAGCATGCACGTTTATTATGTCTCTGAAGAAAGACATTAAATTGCTGTTTTGAAAAGCCCCATAGACTACGGACTTTAGACTCAGTTATACAGTGGTTGCTCTACAGGGAGTCACACAGGAATTCCCTGTTGGTGTGTGAGCCTATAGTGCTGCAGGCATTTGAACTCGACGCTGATGCTGGTTATGTATTCATTAAAAAACAAAGGGGGGAAGTTCATAATCAGTGGAAATTAAGAAAAAAAGAAATGTTAGACCCTAACTACACACTGAAAACGGCTGTGTGCAGCCTTGCATCCTGTTTAACATGAGTGAAAAATACTTTTTTGAAAACTGTGATATTTTTTGTGGCAATCCTTTAAAATTCTATCCTCTTATTTCATTTATCCTGGTAAAAACAGATTATAATGTTATGTTAAAGGTCATGTTAAACCCTTGAAAATGGAGGCTTCGATATGCCTTCATGAAGCTGACTTTTCCCAGCATTCCAATGTATATTATACCATTTAAAACTCATTTAGTTCCCATTTTTATTTGATGGACTTCTCTTAATTTGCCCTCACTATTTAGTCTCAAATTATTGTTGCTAGCATTTATATTTTTTTGCATTTCAAATAGCTTTTGGTATGCTCGAGTTTCCCAACTCTTGAAAATAAGTGGATATTTCTATTTGAACTGAAGCTATAGTAGATTTTAAATCAAATACATTCATTATCTCTGGGAACAGATCCCTTATTAAAAAAAAAAATAGTATTGTATGCTTTTGAACTCATCATGTTGCACTGTTTTAAAGCATTTTTATTTTGAGGCATGGATTAAAAAAAATAATAAAACCAACAAAAACATTAATTGTTACTAGATTTTTAGTTTGTAACAACTGCCAGTGTTGTAACACTGTAATCATGTCTTGTTTAAATATATAATCTCAAAATACTGTTGGTCAGAGAAGAGATTGACCAATACATTTTCTTTAAGGCCAATGCTGATACAGTTTATTATGAGTTCAGTGTAACGCTTCCCAGATAGGTGCTTTTGATATTCTTTAGTCAATTACTGAAGCCAATATTGCTTTTTCCATCAACATGATAAAAATTACACAAAGGTAACAAATGCTAGACAAGTCTAACTTTAAATACAAAAGCAAAAGATATTTACAAATCAAATCACATATTAACAATGGATAGCAAATGGAGGGAGTGGCATTGCCTACAAAAATCAGCCTATACAAAAAGGAAAAGATCAGGCCTCCCATTTACCTGTCCTGTACAAGAACCCTTCGAATGCACAAGACCAGAACTCAAAATAAGCTTTTGCAGTGACTTTACAGATGTTACATAGGCAGTGTGGGAAAATTCTTGGTTATAGTTAAACCGCTGGAAATTGTAGCTTAGTTGTGGAAATCTTCCTCTGGGAAAAAGGCAAAAACTAAATTTGCAGGAATGGATGGTGATATTAATAAAATAGGTTCAGGGAAAGCTGGTTACAAAGAAGAAAACGTTTAGGGTACAGTATTTCAATCTTAAAATTTTGAGATGTACAAATTAGACAATGTTTTAAAACTGCAATGGAAAAAGCACAAGGTAGCTAAAAACTGTTTCATCTGCTAAGTTTGTAAAGTTTGAGGCAAAAAAGAAAATGTGGGCTTATCGGCACCTTTTTTACAGGGAAAGATAAGAAACAGGAAGCCAAAAGAAAATGTTCCCTTTTTACAAAGACAGTTTGGAATTATAGCTCAACAAATAGCTGTTGTGGTTTAATGTTTTAACATTAAAAATATATATTTTTCTTCTGTGGAAAGTTCAGTTTAATATTTCAGGGAATATTCTCTTGGGAGTACTGGAGATCATGATATTCTTCAAATTGGCTAAAATTACTTTTAATTACTTTCAGTGATCTTACTCGGAATTATTCTAAGACTTTTATTTATAATTGCTCGGTTAATACAGCAACTAATTACTGAAACAAATGGGAATGTGTAGGCTTTTCTTGGCTTGATTCTTCCTCCAGCCCACTTTAGCAAATGGTTTATGGGAATTGTTTATAGAACTAGAAAAGTGGTTGTAATTCAGGGGTGGATCCTCAAGTTCACAAGTAATGATCCCAACTGTTGATATTTTTCTCCCAAATTCAGCTCTTGCACAAAGACACTTTCCTGTGGCAGACAGAAAACACTTTAGCCAAAATATGATAAGCTGTTTTGAAATGCTGCTACAGTCACATAGTTGAGCCTTAAACTATTTTTAATGGCAGTGACGCAAGTCTGAAGATAGAGAACATTAGCATTTCACGGGAGTCTTTTACTCCTCTGACCTAATCCAGATCCATGCAAGTTTTCAGGTTGTAAGTTAATGTGGCATGTCGGCAACTGCCCAGGGTAGCATTAAAGAGGGAGAAGGTGTGGGGAACATGATAGCTAGGAACTCTGCAAACAACTTGAACATTTCTTTTGAGCACATCAGTTTATAGGGAGTTGACAAACAAGACTTCCAGCTAAGAGCAAGGAGACCATTATACATACTTGGGCTGATAAGTTGGCTATCAAGGTGCGCACACAAAGTGTGGCAGGTAGGGAGTGTGCAGCTATGATTTTTAGGATTAGAGAAGAAGGGACTTACTTAGGAAGAACAAACACTGCTTACAAAGAACTAATAGTAAAAATATCCTAAACTGAGTAACAACACAAATTTTTGTTATGTTATGCTGCTTTACAAGATTCTATACAATTTATAGGAATATAAAGGTGCAGATCTTTGGTGCATTATAAAGGCCTTTTAAATATTTACTTTAGAATCGTCAATAGATTTTACAGACTTCTCAGAATCCCTCAGTTTTTACAACATGTATTTTATCTAATCGGATATTATCTCCAGGGGAAAATGTGCAATGCTTTCCACTCATTCAGACAACAATTATATCTTATCTGCTTAGTATTCCCAGTCCATACATAATTTAGCAGTAAAACTATAAAGCTAAATTCTCAACAAGAGCAATATTCAAAGTGAACTTTCTATAGCGGATGAGATTGCTTTGAAATGTGTGTGAGACAGAAATTACCCAACAGGTAACATTAGCTGCTTTGTTTTTGCTTCAATAAATTGCTGGATTTTCAGAATTTTAAGTTTAAAAAAAATGCCTGTAACACAAAATAAATCTAAATCCAGTATGGATTCTGCATCTGTAAAATAGAAGTAGCTGACAATGTCTGTGATTATCACTTTTATTAATTCAAAGATTCTTAAGAAAATTTTAAGCTAATTTCTAATCTGGAGTTTTTGTGAAACTCTGACCTGCTGACAACAATTTTAGGAGATGTTGGTTTATCTTTAATAACAATATTTTAAGAGGACAAAAAAGAACTGAATGACTTTCCAGTCTGCCTGCTGTAAGGGGTCATCAATAATTCATATCAGGAGCAGCGGTAATGTCATGCTTTCACTTAAGTGTGCAGTCGCTGTAAAAAAGTATTTTATATTCTGATGTTTAAGGCTAGAATAGGGGGGACTGCTTTGACTGTGACTGTCGTTTGAACAGCTGGTGAACAACAGCAGCTATTGCAGCAATTTTCCTACATAATCCACCAATAAAAGTGACTTTAAATAGTTTAAACTTCAAACATAAAGAGGAAATTACTCGGCTATTTTGCAAAATTAGCAGATTACTTTGGCAAACATATTTTTGCAAGACAACATAAAACCAATAATTTTGGTAAATACCAATCCTAGCAACCAAATAAATCTACTTCCTACAATGTGGCCTTTAAATGGTCAGAGTACCAAAACAGGAAAAAAAGAAAAGCAAATAAAAAAAAAAAAATATATATATATATATAAAAAAAAACAAATTAGAAAAGTAATCTTTTAAATGAGCCATGTTGCATCCTAAACAGCACTTATTACAGCCTACTGTTTAAAGCCTTAAATAAATCCAGTCCAGTATGACCAAGGGATTTCGCTTAATAATCAAACTTGAGGCAATAACAGTCACATGAGGAATTTTCTAAATAGTCTGAAATAGCCTTAAAGACAGCAGCCCACCAATCTGGATAAAAGATAATTTCATACTAATTGTAGAGTAAATAAAAAAGGTACATAATTTTGCCAGCCATGAATCCGTTCATATTGAAAGTCCTTGTGCTCCTGCTGGTTCTTCCAAACACATTTACTCATACAGATTTTTCTAAATACTTAAACACAAAAGAGTGTTGTTACAAAAATGTTGTTACAAAATGAGACCTGGTAAAGCTTAATGTAACATGTTTACTTATTGAAAAAGTGTTTTTCCTTAAAAGTTTAAAAGTTTTAAGTTGCAATCTAAACCACTAAATATGCAGGATGGAAATTTGAAAACCTCATAAAATTGCCATCGAAGCAATGCATGTTTAGTGGTTTAGATTGCAAGTAAAAAAAAAAACATTTTAAGGAAAAATCCTTTTTCAATAAGTAAACATGTTATATTAAGCTTTACCAGGTCTCATTTTGCAATCTAAATCACTAAACATGTAGGATGGAAATTTGAAAACTCCATAATATTACTTCGACAGCAATTTTATGAAGTTTTAACACTCTTAAAACTTTCTTTACTTCCTCTCACGTACGCAGAGAGCTGACAGGCTTCAATGTCCAGATCTAAACTCCACAGATGGCAGGAAGACCTCGTCCTTAGACTCATTGTTATTCCTCATTTTTTTCCCTCACTTCATTCGTCTCATGTAGCCATTGAATGGGACAGGTGAGTGACTGCTGATTACAAAACATCCACTCCTACCTTTGATCTCCTGAGGTGCAGGGCTTTAATCCATCTTGCAGCACAGAAGGCCGTCTGATCTAGGCAGTTGTGGTAGTCACTTAGCTTCTCGTCATCTCACATACACATATAGTGTGAGCCGCGAGCACCTGCAGAGATGTGTGTACAGTATATGCACACTGAAGCACAGTTTGCAAGCTGAGGTGGTGCTTAAAGGGTCCCTGTGAAAAGAGAGAAAGAAAGAGATAGGAAATCAATGTCTGGAAAGTAGAGAAGTATTTTTTTTTTTAAGAAAAACTGATTTTAACTTTGAAAGATTTGGAAATAGGGCTTCATTCAAAATTTTTGATGCAAACATTTTTTCAGCCTTTTATTAATATTGTTACAACAGTAAATAATCAACAGAGCAACTTTGATGACCAATTTTAAAATGAAGTGTATGTTTCCAGAAACCTCATAGCCACAGGCTGTTAATCTCTTCTGTTGGATCTTCTTCCGCAGCCTGATCACAAATTTTGAGGACTCTCATTTAAGCACCACAAAGCTAATTTGTAATCTGCCCTATAAATCACAACTTTAAAGTTCACACTGCTGATTCGCTGATGGCCGAGTTTTTTACAGCATGTCCCTTACTCAGCCAGATCGGCTTCCTGTTTAAACAGCACATCCAACATTTTTCATATGGTTACTGTACTGTACTTTCTTTAAAAAGAGCCTCTGAAAACTCATCAGCCTTGGTGTTGCAAGACAGTTTCGACAGTCAATGAGAAAGTAAAACTCAGTTACAAGATGAACATTAATCTCATGTCATTGCAGTTTAATGGCACCCTTACTCAGCAGAGAATTAAAGTCCTCCCATGAGATTGACCTACATATTCCTTATCTTTACCTTCACACTAAATTAATAAAAGGATCCCCTAGAGTGTGAATCTTGAGTAACACATGTCTTGCCTAGGTAGCTTGAAACATTAGAGAGTGATTGAATCTCGCTTCACATCTATGAATCATTCAAGTATCTGGCCTGCCAAAATACGAGTACTGATCTTCTAAACGACTTTAGATTTACATAAGTTTCAAAAATCTTCACAAATGCACTCATCAGGCATCAAGTAGATTCAATAAATAGCTGTACAGAATATTAAGGAACATTCAGAAATGAAGATTCAAAAATAGAATCCTAAATTATTCATTAATGAGATTATTAGATAGTTAATTTGGATCATGTTAAATCTCAAAAACAGCACACAGCAGAAGGCAAGTTGGCTCCCTTTCTTCTTGCTTAAAGATGTATTTCCTCAGATATCAAGGGCCTCTTGTGTTCAGAGTAATCAAAAGTTTCAGGCCTAGCATTCTTTTTATGTCCGTCTTTAGGTCATGGTTTTAAAAAAAGTCCCACTTTAAAGAACACCCAGCTGGGACTCAAGAACCCACTACATATAGCTTCTAACTAGAGATGCACCAATCCCTCAGTCAGATATCAGTATTGGTGATTTCTAACCTTGTTCAACTCCAGTTAAATGCATCAGAACCAAGAACTCCCACTATTTTAAGTATATAAACATATCAACCAGCATAAAGCAGAGCAGAAATGTGAATGAAGTCGGCGTGATAAGTGCTGTCCAAATAGTGCTTGCCATAAGGATATAGCAAGCAGGATTGTTCCTATTGTCAGTTCAGTTAAAACTGAACTCTATTGATCTCACAATGGAGAAATTTACTCTCTGCATTTAACCCATCCCATTTGGGGAGCAGTGAGCTGCCACTTTGCAGTGGCCCGGGAAGAAATCAGGTGTTAAGGCTCTTGCTCAGAAAGCCAGAGTGGCAGTCTGTGGGGGTGGACATGTTCTGAACTCACAACCTCAGGATTCCAAGCCCTATGCCCTAAACACTAGGCCACCATTTCCCACCATCTGCCAATATGAGCTAAATGGTTGCACACAATCATTTCATGACATCTTTGATGACAAGAAGTTTAGGTACAGCTCAGCTCACAGAGTTGAGGAAAAACTAATAGTCTTCTTACCTATTCAGTGTGACACATGCTAATGTGCACAACTTAATATGTTTTGGGTTTAATAATGAAAAGTTTTAACTGTTTGTTACATTGTGTAACATTTGTTTTTTGTAGTTATTTTACGGTAGTCTCAGTTTGACAAAAATCATTTATGTCTGTCTTTTAATGAAAGCTGTCCGCATTCAGCACACCATAGTGTTCTAACTGTTGACCCAGGGAAAGGTGAAGGGATAGAACCAGGAAACCGGAGGAGCTACAGTTTAAGGAATTTAGAAGGTGCCTCCATCTGGCAGCTCCTTTCTCCCATGTCCCTGCTGGGACCATCAATAAATATTTCAGATATACAGTCTTGGCAAACAAACTTTACAGTGATCTTTCTTTCATGTCCAGTGACTCACTGACACAAAATTAATCCCAAATCATTATTTTAAGAGTAGAAAAACGAGGCACACTCATTTTCATCAATTTCAAAGCATTTTTTCTTCTTAAAATTACTGTTCTAATTTTTTCAAAAGCTTTAAGTTAATGCCACTGAATGACACAAAACAAATGTCAAATTATAATACTGAACTGGTAGATAATGCAGACTTGTTTTCATTGAATTTATGGAAATCATGATTGAACTTTTCATTATCTAATTTGGTTTATTGTCAGTTCCTAATTAACCACCATGTGTGAGAGGAGCAAGTCAGCAGAGAGCAGCTACTAAGGGAAAAGCTACTGATGTTAGTTCTCCTTAATTACATCACATTCCAGGCTAAGCCAATAACAAACTCTGTTTTAACTTGAAGATAACTTGGACAAAAACAGGATTTCAAACAATGTGCAGTAAATCATCAAAAAAATGCGTGGGTCATGTAGACATCCATATAAGATTGGAGTCGACAATAATTGAGTGTCAGTATTTATTTGAATATTATTAAATAACAGTACTATTATATTCCCGATGTTTCAGAGTAGATTATTATCATTATTATAGGGATTATAATTGCAGCATTTGTCACTGACTGATGTCCTGGGTTTTATGTACTGTAGGATTTAGCTTTTTAATTAACATTTTTCCTATGTGTTATACTGCATATCTTTGGTGTTGTATTGGATCAGTTTTATAAAAAAAAGAAGTAAATTGATGTTTACAAGCTTGTACGTGGATCTGTTATGTTGTTGGCATTCATGGAAGTTTTTCTGAGGGTGTAATTTGTTTTTTTATTGATATTATATCAGATCAACTTATATCATGAATGTGATAAACATTTTGGCGGCCATGTCATCCAGCCCTACTATTAAAATTATCCAGATTGATCCATACAATTTGTGATCAAAAATGTTGATTTATGGATAAGTGGTCCATTCAGTAGCTTTTTTAGATTTCTATACTTTACTTGACTAGTCATTTTTCTGAGGACTTTTTACTACTATTTGCAAACAAATGTCTGTAGTTGCTAATCCTTACTCTCTCCAAACTGGCTCATATCTATAAAAAAAAAAAATTTCATAACGACTCGACGCAACAGCTGCAACAACACCAAAAAAAAAAAAAAAAAAATGCAAAAGACGATTTTGTCCGCTTGTTCATATAAAAAGTCTAATAGCAGACTAAACTGATTCTGAGACCCAAGACATCCATCCTTATAAATTTTTATTTACATGTTGATTGGCTTTCACGTTCTATGCAGTTTAGTTGTAAAAGAAAAAAAAAAAAAAAGAAAAAAAAAATTTAAGTTACTTTATATCTTTTAAAAGCAAAAATGATATTTTACATTTGTATTGCAGTGCACTTTACAGGCTTCTTCAATGGTGGTCTTCCAGGGCCGTTCTCCTACACTGAGTGTTTCTGCGTCAGCACACCGATCATTAGCGGGACTGAAGAACTGGACTGCTTGCTGAGGAGGTAACTCAGCAATTTGATTCAGGTGTGGAAGTAGAGAAACGTGTTAAATGTGTAGTTAAGGAAGCCTGCGTGTGGGGTCTGTAATTGTTTTACCTTTGTTTAGGTAAAGGACTTAAAGCTATGCTCTTTTATTTCTGGGTGGATCATCTAAATAAGTGGTCCTCCTAATTGTGAATCATTCTGTTGATATTTTACGTAAGTCCATCCTACATGCTCATTGCCATAAATAGCTATCTTTCTTCGCATGCGCACCTTCAGGCATATACGTGTGTTGAGGTGTGGTTTCAGACAATCATTGAAGCTCACCTTTCTTACCGCAGTTCTTTGAAAATGGCAGAGGGTCATAAGAGTGTGTCTACGAAGCGTATGAGAAGAAAGGCCTCAGAAGAGGCAGATATACCCTGGAATGCTTTGTGCAGAGAGCTCTCCTTGCAAAGCATTATGGGATTTGCTGTCACAGCTGCCCGCTGTCACCATTGGCTGTTACTACCCGACAACGGTGAATAATAAAAAGGTGGCGCAAGCATCCCACGGTGGAGGAGGACTGTGACTAACAGAGAGTAAAAAGCAGTGATCATCTGTCTGGACGGTAAATTAACCGAGTTTGCTACAAAGTTCCCGCTATATATAGTGATTGAGGGATTTAGGGGTTAGGCCGGATATGCAGGCACAGTAAGCTTGTATGAGCAATGAGAACAGCAACTTTTAAACAGAGCATGCACGAGATGAAATGGGCTTGTGCATGCTCTCGCACGCATTTAATAGACATTCCCTCTTGGGAGCAGGTACAGGGTTGTGCATCTGTATTTTTTGGTGAGTGGAGAGGGTGTGTTTTTAAAAAAATTGCAAAAATCCTCCATAGTACCTTTAAATCTGTACTTTACTTTTCCTTTATTTTTTCTCATAAGTATTTGTACTTTACTTTTACTTTACTTTTTACTTTTAAAGTATTTAAAAGTTACATCACTAAAACTATCAACCACAATTGCCCAGAATTTGAATCTTGCTAACAATTGTTTCTCACCCCATGAGATGCAAGCAGGCATCTGACTCCTGATAAAATAACCCGGCTCTTCTGTGAAGGACCATGTGTTGCATCCTAAGGGTGAACTAGATTCCTATAAGGTCACTGTTGGGCATAAACTGTACAGAGTTACTGGGTTTAAAAAAAACATTTTTTGAACATCGGACCACATATGGAGCCATTTTTGTGACAGTACTTTAAAAACTCGGCAGCTGTCCTTAAAAATTGCCTTACTGACAGCGCTAATGCAATTACAGAGATAGAGAGAAAACAGATGGAGGGTGAAAGCATC